ACACTTGAAAATAAAAGTGGATCAAAATGTGGGACACTTAAAAATAAAAGTGGATCACAATGTGGGATACTTAAAAATAAAAATGGATCACAATGTGGGATACTTAAAAATAAAAGTGGATCACAATGTGGGACACTTAAAAATAAAAGTGGATCACAATGTGGGACACTTAAAAATAAAAGTGGATCACAATGTGGGACACTTAAAAATAAAAGTGGATCAAAATGTGGGACACTTAAAAATAAAAGTGGATCACAATGTGGGACACTTAAAAATAAAAGTGGATCAAAATGTGGGACACTTAAAAATAAAAGTGGATCACTTAAAAATGTGGATCTCAATGTCAAAATGTGGGACACTTAAAAATAAAAGTGGATCACAATGTGGGACACTTAAAATAAAAATGGATCAAAATGTGGGACACTTAAAAATAAAAGTGGATCACTAAAAAATGTGGACACTTAAAATAAAAATAAAATGTGGATAAAAATAAGTGGTGGGACACTTAAAATAAAAGTGGATCAAAATGTGGGACACTTCAAAAAAATAAAAGTGGATCACAAGTGGGATCAAAAGTGGATCAAATGTGGACACTTAAAATAAAGTGGATTAAAAAAATAAAAAAGTGGATCAAAATGTGGGACACTAAAAAAATAAAAGTGGATCAAAATGTGGGACACTTAAAAATAAAAGTGGATCAAAATGGGACACTTAAAAATGGGACACTTGGGACACTTAAAAAAAAAGTGGATCAAAATGTGGGACACTTTAAAATAAAAGTGGATCAAAATGTGGGACACTTAAAAATGGAAAAAGTGGATCAAAATGTGGGACATTTAAAATAAAAGTGGATCAAAATGTGGGACACTTAAAAATAAAAAGTGGATCAAAATGTGGGACACTTAAAAATAAAAGTGGATCAAAAATGTGGGAGACACAAAAAATAAAAAATGGATCAAAATGTAAAAATAAAAAGTGGATCAAAATGTGGGACACAAAAAAAAAAGTGGATCACAATGTGGGACACTTAAAAACAAAAGTGGATCAAAATGTGGGACACTTAAAAATAAAAGTGGATCACAATGTGGGATACTTAAAAATAAAAGTGGATCAAAATGTGGGACACTTAAAAATAAAAGTGGATCAAAATGTGGGACACTTAAAAATAAAAGTGGATCACAATGTGGGACACTTAAAAATAAAAGTGGATCACAATGTGGGACACTTAAAAATAAAAGTGGATCACAATGTGGGACACTTAAAAATAAAAGTGGATGAAAATGGGACACTTAAAATAAAAAAAATAAAAATAAAAGTGGGACTTAAAAATAAAAAGTGGATCAAAATGTGGGACACTTAAAAAATAAAAAGTGGATCAAAATGTGGGACACTTAAAAAATAAAAAGTGGAGGCCAGCAGGAAAATGTGGGAGACTTAAAAATAAAAGTGGATCACTGGGACACTTAAAATAAAATGTGGGACACTTAAAATAAAAGTGGATCACAATGTGGGACACTTAAAAAAAAGTGGATCTACAATGTGGGACACTTAAAAATAAAAGTGGATCAAAATGTGGGACACTTAAAATAAAAGTGGATCACAATGTGGGACACTTAAAAATAAAAAGTGGATCACAATGTGGGACACTTAAAAATAAAAGTGGATCAAAATGTGGGGAACTTAAAATAAAAGTGGATCAAAATGGGGGACACTTAAAAATAAAAGTGGATCAAAATGTGGGACACTTAAAAATAAAAGTGGATCAATGTGGGACACTTAAAAAAAAATGGAAAAATGGGGGACACTTAAAACAAAAAGTGGATCAAAATGTGGGATAAAAATTGGATTAAAAAATAAAAAATAAATGTGGATCTTAAAATAAAAGTGGACACTTGGGACAAAAATAAAAAGTCAAAAAGATCACAATGTGGGACACTTAAAAAAAAAGTGGATCACTTAAAAATGTGGGACACTTAAAATAAAAGTGGATCACAATGTGGGACACTTTAAAAAACAAAAGTGGATCAAAATGTGGGACACTTAAAAATAAAAGTGGATCACAATGTGGGACACTTAAAAATAAAAGTGGATCAAAATGTGGGACACTTTAAAAATAAAAAATAAAAGTGGATCAAAATGTGGGAGACTTAAAATAAAAGTGGATCACAATGTGGGACACTTAAAATAAAAGTGGATCACAATGTGGGAAACAAAATAAAAACAAAAAACACTTAAAATCAAAAGTGGATCAAAATGTGGGACACTTAAAAATAAAAGTGGATCACAATGTGGGAGACTTAAAAATAAAAGTGGATCACAATGCGGGAGACTTAAAAATAAAAGTGGATCACAATGGGGGATACTTAAAAATAAAAGTGGATCAAAATGTGGACACTTAAAACAAAAAAGTGGATCAAAATGTGGGATACTTAAAAATAAAAAGTGGATCAAATGTGGGATGAACTTAAAATAAAAAGTGGATCACAATGGGGACACTTAAAAATAAAAAGTGGATCACAATGTGGGACACTTAAAATAAAAGTGGATCTTAAAAACAAAAGTGGACAATGGGACACTTAAAAAACAAAAGTGGAAAATGTGGGATACTTAAAAATAAAAGTGGATCACAATGTGGGGACACTTAAAAATAAAAGTGGATCACAATGTGGGATACTTAAAAATAAAAGTCACAATGGGACACAATGTGGGACACTTAAAAATAAAAGTGGATCACAATGTGGGACACTTTAAAAAAAAAGTGGATCACAATGTGGGACACTAAAAAATAAAAGTGGATCACAATGGGACACTTAAAAATAAAAAGTGGAAATGGGAACTTTAAAAATAAAAGTGGATCACAATGTGGGACACTTAAAAAAAAAAAGTGGATCACAATGTGGGATAAAAGTGGATCAAACTTAAAAATAAAAGTGGATCACAATGACACTTGGGACACTAAAAAACAAAAGTGGAAAATGTGGGAGACTTAAAAAAAAGTGGAACAATGTGGGAGACTTAAAATAAAAGTGGATCACAATGGGGGACTTAAAAATAAAAGTGGATCACAATGGGGATAAAAAAAACTAAAATGGAAAAATGGATACTTAAAATAAAAAAGAAAACAAAAAAAACAAAGAAACAAAATGAAATGATCTAGGCAACATGTCCAAACACATCTACAACTAAAAAGATTCAATTTAAAAATTTCAGCGTTTTATACGTATGCATAATTATAACAACGTTTCGGTATTTTATATCCCCCTCTTCTTCATACGCATATATAATTACTTCAACAGAGCATTACCTTAGTCCGATGAAACGCGTCATATCGAATTTTTTTCTAACAGAAACTCGTATTTGAGTTAGGCACGTCAGTCATGTATCGAGTGATACATGGTTGCCTACGCGTTTATCAAGCATGACACACAACTGACTGATAATTATTTATTTTCGTCTCCCGGCCTGAATGTTTGGGAAACCTTATCAAATAAAAATCTGCACTTTTCGATGTTCCTCACGGCAGAGGGAGCTACAGCTAAGTCTGGCACGCCTTAACCAACTTGACCAGGAGGAGTCGATCAGGCAAGGCGAAAATCTGTCGCATTAATAAAAAAATAATCCAGTTTAACAAACATATATATATATATATATATATATATGAAGACATGTCACATAAAATGATTTAGACAAGTTTTGTCTACTTAATTTTAATAGTAGCCTCTCGTAATTACAGACAAGTTTCTTGGTATACTTATTAAAGGGACCAAGAAAATTACCATTTCTAATTAAGAGAGTATCCTATTAAAAATAAGTAGGCAAAACTTGTTAAAATTATTTAATGAGACATGTCTTAATGAAAACATTCTGCCAAAATATGCGATATATATATATATATATATATATATATATATATATATATATATATATATAAATTATTATATATATATATACGTGTGTGTGTGTGTACGGGGTCTTATCAAAAAGTATCGGGACTGTTGTTTGATAACGGAGCTAAAGTACGCAGAATGAGACCGTTTGGCCGAAATTGATCTTGAACATAGTCGCACATGGACACTAAGTTATAATTTTCACTCATTTCCGCTGTTTATAGCAGTGCTTGGAAGGAGAGTGTGTAGAGTGTGGTCGTCTCACCACACCAGAGAGGTTCCATCAAGGACCATGGCTTGTGCAGCAGTTTTTGGCCAGGTAAAACATTCTCCATGTCCGAAAAGCACCATATTTCCCAGATTTCGTCCCTTTGCGACATTTTCGTCTTCAAAACCAAAATCCTACTTGAAAGGAAGAAGATATGAAGATGCCGAGAACATCCCCCCCATCCCAAAAAAGGAATTTCAGGAATGTTTCTATCAATGAAAACGACACTGAAAAAAATGTGCGGTTTCATAAGAGGACTACTTCGAAGGAGATTAAATGCAAAATTGGTATGCGTTGCAGTTTTCTTTTTATAGCGCCAGTCTCGATTCTTTTTGAACAGACCTCTTATATATTTCTGCATTCTGTTGAGGTTTCCTCTAGATTCGATGAATTACTTAATTATAATTATCTCAAATCCTCCTAATAATTTCTATCACTTGTATATGCTTGCTCGAACTAGCTTCTAATGCTCTGGATGGAGGCTTGGTGATAGTAGTCGTGGCTCGTGGGGGCGCAGTCCTATGGATAAGGAAAACCCACATGAGTTCCACCACGGAATATGTGATCGAGCGGCGCTATATCGAGTCTGATTCGCTGCCTCTTCGTCACCGATGCCCGTTGGTATGATGTTTGCCTGGTACCGTAACGGTCCGGTTTCGATTCCCAGTAGTGGATGCGCACTGCTGATGAGTCCCAAACGTCAACCGCCATCTTCTATCCTCTTGAACCCTGTTCAGCTGCTATCCTTTCCTCGCCACCCCACTCTTATACCCAGTCTTTTCTGTCATTTTCACCCCCTGTAAACCCCTGCGTACTAGTGGCATTCCCGACTTGCTTGGGGTGAA